CTAATTTTAATGTTAATGCACTCACCCACAAAGGGCACGAGGCCCTCCTGCTCGTAGGCGCGCAGGGTCTCGTTGCCGCTGCACAGCCGCCTACCCGCGGCCAGCGCCTTGCCCGGGTCAAACGTGCAGCTGTGGTGCTGCTCCCAGAACTCCCGGAACCAGATGTTGCGGCAGTTGACTCGCAGCGCCGCGTCTCCCGGGTGCCGGTAGTTGCGTCGCAGCGACTGGCACTCCGTCACGTTGGGCCGCAGCGACTTGTAGTATGTGTCGAACTCTGTGAGAGGAAACAGAGCGAGTTAAGTCTGGAAAATAATTCTGAAATAAGGGAGGAAAACTGTAGAGGAATACAAAGATTGATGTTATTTTGAGGAAAATGTTTTAGCCGATAAAACTGACTGCTCTCCATACGGGTAAACAATGTGAATGTATATTCACACTGCAACTGGAACCTCTCTGTGATAGAATAAAAGAACACAGGCAAATGGAAAAGCAGCAGCCCCAGCGGTCAGCGATCCGGTTCGGTTGGTTAGGATTAAAATGCCACAAAACAAGTTGTGCAGCGTGCGTGCATGGACCGTATTGAAGAGGAGAGGGGAGAGTCCCCACCCCTACATCGCTCGATATTCGAAACAAATCCCAGCCATCAGCCATCATGGTATTTTAACAAAAAGGAAAACCAGATGGTCTGCCCGGCGCTCAGCGGCAGCCAGGGAAGTGATTCTTGGGTTTTTGCATCGCAATTTCCTCATTGCAGTCCTGCTTTTGAAACGCGCGGTGCCGCTTCCATTGGGTAAACAACAACAGAGTGGACGGTTGGTTTTGTTGGGGTTGTTGGTGTTGGCAGGTGTTGGTGTTGTGTGGGACGCACCGCTGCACCCTGCCTTCATGTACGAATTTTAAGGATGATTTCCACGAAAAGAAACAACGAGGAAACACTGTCACAAAAAAAGTTTAATCATTTAGCGTGGTCGCCAGCTGTGGCACGGTCGGCCGAGGATCCATAGCTGCTGTGGGACACGAGGCTAGGGCAAGGAAAAAGTTGGTCCAGAAGGAGGTTTTTGTTGTTTTCTCCACAAGGCGGGTGAGCATCACCACGCCAAGCCCCACCAATTAGCATAGCTACCAACCCGATAAACGTAAAAATAGGATTTATTACAAATGCCACGTTATTTCATTTCGCTTAAAAATCATTCATTTGAGGAGTGTAGTGTACTCAAACGCCAGCCTCAGCGTCGTGGCCCAGGACGACCCCAAAGACATTATTCGACCAGCTGGTGGAGGACGGAATGAAAATAATTCTAGCGAGAGCGGCCTATTATAAAGGGACTTGGCACCCAAAGTTTGTGCATGCATAAACCACGTGTATAATCCCACAACGCTGTCTAATGGAATCCAAAACAGGATGATCCGCGGCGCCGGCTGGCCGACGGGGGCAACGA